GTGAACCGGCGAATAACAACACGTGAGATCGGATTGAGGTTAAATTTATCAAATTCAACAGTTTATGACCACTTGAAAGGCCTGGGATTATCCTCAAAGCTCGATGTATGGGTTCTCCATGTTCTCACAGAGATCTAAAAGAAATTAAATAAATCTTAGACCTCGACAGTAGCACCATTTATCGGGTCCAAAAGTATTCTATCTTTCAAACTGGAACCAATCATACATATTCATAAAGTTTCACTGCAATTGGTTGAGTGGTTTCGGAAAATAGCGCCTAGGAACATAGTGACACATGTTAGCTCCTAACTATATACCTTTTTAAAATGAAAATAAAGTCACTTCAAAAAATTTCCATGTTCGTAAGTACAATAGAATATAATGGACATACAGTACAAATGGATTGAGAACCGAACGTAGGGGGGTGTTCTGTTACATGAAACACTTTCAGCTAACTTTTCGTATAAGTAAAAAGTAAAATAAGTCAAATAAATGTGGTTGAAGGCATTTGAGGAGTATTACGTTTTGCTCAAAAGATTTTGAGGTTTCGGTTACTTTATGACAGTTTTGAGAGAAGCACGAAATATGTTCGGAGACTCAGATTTTATTGTCACGTACTCAATATCTTCTAGGGCAATCTGGCGCTTTATCGAGCTATATTCAAAACATTCTGTTTGCAAATAATTAATTAAAACCATTTTTATGAATTACTAGCTGTCCCGGCAGACTTCGTACTGCCCCAATCGATGTATAAAAGACCTAAATTTTTGTATAAAATAAACTTAGTTGACAAATGTCAGATATTATGGTTGCGTTCAGAAATTTAATATGACAAAACTTAAGATTTATCAATCTACATAAAAATAATCTGAAAGATAGTTAACACTTTCATATTTATTCACCTTATAAAACCTTCCCTGGACTTCCACAAATAATTCAAGACTAAAATTAGCCAAATCGGTCCAGCCGTTATCGAGTTTTAGCGTGACTAACGAACAGCAATTCATTTTTATGTATATAGATAGAAGATAGATAGACTACGTGAAAACTAAAGGGGGGAGGGGTCTTGGCATATACTATAGGTGATTTTCGAGGAGAAAGGGGGATAAAAAACGGTAGTATGGCTACGTATTTACAATTTCCTCTTTTTGTTTATGTTTTCGTGAAAGGGAAATCTTCAAAAGACACCCAGCCGTCCCTACGATTGGGTAGTGTCGGATTCCCGAGGAAGAAGTCCTCACACCTACCGACAAAAACCCCTCTACCTCAGGCCGTTTTAGGACTAATTAAGGCCCTCTACAGCCGCACGTTTATTCGAACATATACTTACTTTTCTAATTGACCAAAGGAAGAAGGTGTACCAACCCCCAAAAGATTTAAATTGCATTTAGTGGACTATTTGTATGAATTTTTTTATATCATATACCACGTTTCAAAAGATAGATGTCGCCCTTAGACGATTGCGTGTACTTAATGGAATATTCCCATATTTAATTCGCAACTTGCCGCTAGTTCTTCTTTTTTACAACTTTTGGTACGAAGCCATAAACAGAATATCGAATTTTAATTTTTCTGTAGGGTATGTTTGTTTGTCTGTTTGAATTTGACTAGGTATGGGACTAAATCACTTTTCAAAATTAGATGGTGACAAATGTGTTAGAAATAGAGGAAATGTATTAAAGTTGGACGCGATGGCTGACTGGTGAATATGGATTTCTTCGGCAAAAGTTTCTCCATACAGAACAAGCTTCAAAATTACCAAAGTTTAACCAGTGGAGTTGCGATTGCCATTCTGGCGGCTTTTGGCGTGTTGGCCGATCGCTTTGAAAAAGTTTAGTTGGACAGAATTAACTTTTCGACCGCCTGCCGTTGCTCTAACCAATACGTCGTATACCCACACACACACACAGAGATACAGATATACGTACCCATGTGGATGATTAATTGTTAAAATTGTAGAGTTTCGGCACATATCCCTTTTCCGTAGCCGAGGAACAGTTTGTCGATATTTCACGATTGTTTCAGAGGGAAGATAAGTATCTACAGCCAGCCGCGAACTGGTGCACACTTTTTGGAAAGTGGAAAGCTTTTGGAACGATTTTTTCAATGTCATTACTTCAGTATAAGTATGTTACCGTCCTGGGTATTATAGGGTTGTTCGGAAGGTCATTTCGTTTTTCCCGACAGAGGATTTTATTGTATTCTTTTGCACTCAACTTCACATTTAAGCCGTAGAATTTTTATATGCTTTGAGAGCTCTTATAGCAAGGCTTGTGCGTGAAAAATTCCAATTAATTCTACGCAGTAGTTTTTGGTTGGTGCCCTTTTAAATATGGAGAGCGATAAGCAGCATTTTCGACATATCTTACTGTTTTACTACAGAAAGGGTAAAAATGCTGTTCAAGCCAGAAAGAAATTGACTGATGTGTATGGAGAAGGTGTGTTGACAGTACGCCAGTGCCAGAACTGGTTCGCTAAATTTCGATCCGGCAATTTTGATGTCGAAGATGCACCACGTTCGGGAAGGCCGGTTGAAGCTGATAAAGACGCGATAAAGGCATTAGTTGATGTGAACCGGCGAATAACAACACGTGAGATCGGATTGAGGTTAAATTTATCAAATTCAACAGTTTATGACCACTTGAAAGGCCTGGGATTATCCTCGAAGCTCGATGTATGGGTTCCCCATGTTCTCACAGAGAGAAATCTGTGTCGCCGCATTGACGTCTGCGATTCGCTTCTCAAACGTCACGAAAATGATCCGTTTTTGAAGCGCATCATCACTGGGGACGAAAAATGGGTTGTATACAACAACGTCAAACGCAAGAGGTCATGGAGCAAAAAAGATGAACCGGCTCAAACCATTTCCAAAGCCGATATTCACCAAAAAAAGGTGATGCTGTCTGTTTGGTGGGATTTTAAAGGAATCGTTTTTTTTTGAGCTTTTACCGGATAACACAACGATTAATTCGGAAGTCTACTGTCATCAGCTGGACAAACTGAATGATGCACTTCAACAGAAAAGGTCAGAACTAATCATCAGGAAAGGTGTAGTGTTTCACCAAGACAACGCGAGACCTCACACAAGTTTGGTCACTCGCCAAAAGCTTTTACAGCTTAAATGGGAAACAATGCTACACCCACCATATTCTCCAGACCTGGCACCATCGGAGTATTATTTGTTCCGGTCACTCCAAAATTTTTTAGACGGTAAAACCTTTACCTCAAATGAGGAGGTCAGAAACCTCCTCGATCAGTTTTTTGCCAGCAAAGACCAAAAATTTTATGGGCGTGGAATTATGCTACTACCAGAAAGATGGCAAAAGGTGTTGGACCATTATTATACGAAAACTGTCTTTCATTTCCACAAAAAAAAAACGAAATGACTTTCCGAACAACCCTATAAATAGTCTCACTCTGGTTACTATTAAACAGTGTCGCATTAGTAACTCTCACATTGGAAGTGGGCGAAAAACGTGTCCAAAAAAAAGTATACAGTGGTAATGAGAGGGTCTTTTTTTCCTCCTGTTTATTTATTCATTTACCAGTTACTACAGTCTTCAACCTTTACTTCCTCATTAAATGAAATAGGTACTCTATAGAGCACTGTAAATAGCTCAAATCCCAATGTCAAAATATGACACTAAGTAAAGACTGAAGAAGATAACCTAGTTAGTGTTTCGGTCTTTAGTCTATTATTAAGAGTATTCTACAACACCCCTAAAGTCTTCTGGTCTTTCAGATACTTCATCTGGAATGTTCATTTTCATATTTCAGTCATTATATTCATTAATAACATATCTTCATTCCACACATGTGTAGTTTATTTAATTACTTATAGTTTTCTACAATTCTGCAGTTTATTGAGGCAGAACAATATATAACTGTCAATTAACCCAAATGATCGACTTTAAATCAACCCTTGGTCACCATTAAATATAATAAGAGTTCATTTTTAACCTGGACGAAAGCAGCAATAATTGTTCAAAAATATTACACTGTTCTGATATGATGATAATTTTGCAAATGACGTTTACATACAAACAAGACAATTGCTTTTTATGTAGGATGTCAAACATCATGCTAAAATTTTCAGTGAATAGTTCGTTTTTATATATTAAAATTTAAGTAATGACAACAAATAAGTGCTCCCCAGAATAGTTTAGTTTCCATCAAGTAATCTTGTAAATAATGGACAACCGGAGTCATGTAGTAAATGAGGGTTGGACTTGTGAACCAAACAATGAAGAGCAAGCACCAAGTTTTGGAAATTACGTGCAGTGGAGGACAAGGAGACCATCAGACAATTATCAGGAAGGTCCTCCGGGGTACGAAACAGATGAAGTGCAACATTTAAAAACAACTAAAACAGTTACTCATTCTCCAAGGAGAAAACCAACAAGAACTGTCACAATCAGAGAAACCAAGATAGAGACAATTCCTGGTAAATTAATAAGAAAATTTTTGCCGGAAGTTTTACAACCGCCAATATTTCCTGTATTCGGTCAAAGTTCAGGAATGAGTTGCCCTGGAGGACCAGGATCACCTAGAACACCAGCCTCGCCGGGACCACGACAGTATCCAACAACTCCATATCCAGGACATTTCTCTTATGACGAAGAATCAGAAGAAAGCGAAGATGACGGATGTGCAATGGGATCTTCCCCTAACACTTCTTCAACATACGTTAGATACGATGACTTATCATACGGCAATTTAAACTTATCCCCCCCACCTCAAAGACAAGTGGCAGCTGTTCCGCCACGCTGTGTAGGTGGTCCACCACCACAACCTGCGACTGTTACCATGGGATGTCCTAGAGGAGCACCACTTCCAGCATTTCAAGGTCCGCTCAGACAAAGACCTGTTGGAGTTTGCAGACCTATGCAACGAGGCACTGGAAGACAGGTTGGTGTTGCCCGACCTATGGTACGACAAGCTCCACCGGTAGCAGCAGTAGGTCCTATGCAAAGAGGAGGTCCTATACCTGGTCAAGGTATTGTAGCGTTGTAGTAGGATGTAATGGAAAAAATGAGACAGCAATTTAGAGATTTGTTTAATTACATTTTTTTATTTTGCTGCTAGAAGTTCATTATGCTAATGTAACTGGTATATCAAAAAGGTTATTAGATCTTATAGAACTTCTAACTTTGCCCCACGTCGGTTCTGCTGTTGTCAATGTTTCATCCTCGATCACATTAAACATTTTTAGCGTTATTATGCGAAAAAGAAGAACTATTTTAAGTTGTCAATCTGTATCGAAAGGGTCATGAAGATGTTACGTGCTATCGAGGTAAAAACAATAGACAAGCAATTTTCGAACTGACGACCACGTGATTGTAACTGCAATTTGTCATGTAAATATTTCGCCAGTTTAGTATGTTTTTATTCAATTCAGCGTGATTCTAACCCGGTACGACCATACTGCGTTTCTGCTGAGGGCAAAGGCGGTAACGTCAATTTATATTGATGAATGATACACAAGCAGAGTCTCAATAAAATTTTCAGACAATATAAATTTTTCAAATATTCTAGGAGTTGTTGCTGATAGACCACGAGTGCCCATAAGACCGTTTGGTCAGGTTGACCACAACAGAATTGCTGTGGTAAATCCAAGAGTAGCAACTCCTCCTCAACAAAGACGAAATCCCAACCAAACCTACACAATTTCAAGCGACGAAGAAGAAAATACACAGAATTGGTCCTATACTCTACCATCATCGCCTAGAACACTTATACCTGCCCAAGGTATTGTTTTTGATATCTGTTGTGGTGTGAAGGGCAAAAATGAGATAATATTTTAGTCGTTTGTTTAATACTGCCCTTTTCTTAAATGATTGCACAATTGCACGATGTGTGATCTCCAATAAGTTGCCGGCAAAGATGGTGATGCATATATTAGAAGCAAATAGGCATAAAGGGGGATATGGGAAGACTTAGATTAGACTATTGTTCCCGAATATTATCAGTATTCTAGTTTTAGGAAATGCACTCTGCCCTTTTATTTTTTCTTGGTTCTATCAATAGGTATTCCAACACACCCTTAAAACAGATTTCAAAACCCAACCAGTACCCAATATTATGCATATTATTGATTAACTACCCTCCAAAAATATTACCATAAACAAAGTTTATCGTAAGAGTAATGCTAAGCTATTGCAACTTATCATGCAAATGATTTACCTATTAGCACGTTCTACTTACATATAGGGTGATACCACCATGGTGTCGCCGAGAGCAAATCCTGGTTAGTTTTATTCCGAATGGTGGATGATACGCAGGAAGAGCTTCAATAGCATTTTCAGATAATACAAATTTTTCAAAATACTGTAGGAGCTGTTGCTGATAGAACACCAGTTCCTATAAGACCGTTTGGTTCTTGTCAGGTTGACCCCAGCAGGATCGCTGTAGTAAATCCAAGAATGGCAACTTCTTCACCGGGAAGAGGTCAACTCAATCAAACTTACACGATTTCAAGTGGCGGGGAAGAGAGTATGCAAGATTGGTCCCATTCTTTTGGGTCATCAACTTTAAGTTCTGTACCATCATCACCTAGAAGCCCTCCACCTAATCTTGTGCCTGCTCAAGGTACTGCTTTTATTTACTGTGTACTGGCACTGGTATTTCTTTCAAGTAATGAAATGTTATACATTGGTTTGAACATAAATTTGTTTTATCTTACTCACACTGAAAAGCGTTTCTTTTTATTTAATAAAATTACCGCTATTTGTACTTAAGCGAGGCTCCAAGTACCATCCCAGTTTTTAAATAGTTTATTTGGATTTCTATTGATAAAAACGAGTAAAAAGTGAAAGGAAAGCATAAAAAATTTTACAATTTACAATTTACGATTTTTCACTTCCTAAAGTGTATGTTTGGAGCACAGTTTTGTACAGTAGCAGCGAGAAAGAACAAAGTAGAAGGAATTGCGATGCAGTTATGGTCGAATAACGAAAATACTATGGATAAAATGAGGAGGTATTGGAAACGGTAGGAAAATATCAATAAGCAAAAGGAAAAATGGGTTGGTAGTTTTGTGATGATAACAATGCAAAAATAAAATAAACCAAAAGAAATATAGTGAAAAAGTAACAAATTTAATTAACAATAACTGAACAATGGAGTTGAATAGTTGAAAAACAGATCGGAAGTGTTAGTAGCTTTAAATATAATTTTAACGAAGATTAAAAAAGGTGGAGCTAAAAGTATTATAACTAAAGTAGGGGTCGAATCAGAAGGGAATGAAACTTGATTAGATGAAATACTAAAAACAGATTTTGCCCCAATGTACCAAGAAATCCAATATTAAAATGCAATTAAGAAGCAATAAGAATCATATTAGGCAAAATGCCAAAGCTATATACAAAGATGATATTATACAATAATAAGTAATATGTGGCAAATGTATGCAGTCACAGCACCTCCCTGCAAGTGATGTAGATCACGAAAAATTGACTTAGAGGCGGTCTTGACTTGACACATCTTCCTGAGCGTGTCCAATACGGGCCCACCGGCGGTTTTACACCTGGATTACTATCTGTAGCTGGCTGTTCCGATGTTCTATACCGTCCCGGCGTCTCCTCCTCTTGCCATCATCTGCCGTAATATAAGCGGGTTTGAACCTATCCACCGAAACGACAACGTCACGTCCACGAATATCGATTATAAATGTTTTGATGCGCCTCTCAACTACCTTAAATGGTCCTTCGTAAGGCTGCTGTAGTAACGTCTTGGATCGACTGCGACGAAGAAAAACATTTACTGTGGTAGCCATATTTTTGAAGACGAAGGTCGCTTTTGTTTCCTGATTGGTTTACTCAATGGAACGCAAATGCTGTATGTGTTGGCGTAAGGTTTGCACATAGGTTTCGGGATTGCTTATGGAAATGGTTGGGGTTAAAAACTCTCCTGCTATTTTCAGTGGTTCTCCATACACCATCTCTGGTGCTGAGGACTGTAAGTCGTCTCTCCAGAATATCCGAATCTTTCTGAACCCAGCATGATGACAATGACCATATCGACATGTTCGAACCGTCCTGAAGGTAGTGGGAACGTCCTTTGTGGTGATTTCGTTTAGTGTGTAACTTAACTCTGTACCCATTCTCTGCAATCCTTTTTTATTGACGACCAAACACAGTGTTGTGATGTCATTTTGACTGTCGTTTTTACTCCAAAATGTAAGAGACTATGTGAGACGTTGAAGACGGTGATGATGGGCTGCACGTTCTTAGTAGACACATCACATAACAGCTCGAGATTGGCTTCCAGTATATTTATCCAATCCAGTTGGAACGACGTCGATTTGTTGGTCATCAAGGTTTTCAGCTCTTTATCGGTTCTTTGTGGAGTTGCTAGTGCTTCAAAATCAAATGCGTCTAATACCTCGTCAATTCGGAAAAGCGCGTCAGCAATCACATGTTTCTCTCTCCTGAGACGTGACGTATATCTGCGGAAAACTGTACGATAAAATCTAAATACCTAAACTGACGACGCGTGCATTGCTTTTATGTTTTTCTTGAATATGTCAGCGGTCGATAATCGGTGAAAATGCTGAATTTTCTGCCTTCCACGATGTGTCGAAAATATTTTATAGCTTCGAATATGACTATTAGCTCCCTGTCGTAAACTGATACTTTCTCTCTGTTGTCGTTAGTTTTCTCGAAAAAATGTCTGACTGCCATGATCAATCGACTAGTAGTTACAGGACTGCATCAATGGTTAAGTCTGATGCGTCAGAGAAAACTGCTAGTGGTGTGTTCGATGTAGGATGAGCCAGGAAGGTAGCTTGAGCTAAACTGTCTTTGCATTCCTCAAATACTTCTTTGGTTGTTGATGTCCACACCACGGGTGCTTTGTCTTTTGCGTTGCTTTGCATTACTCAGTACTGCTTGGACTGTTGCTGCGTTGGGTATAAATCGCCTATAGAAATTCAGCATGCCCAAAAAACGATGAAGTTGTTTCACAGCATCTGGCAACGGAAACGAACGAATGACTTTAACTTCAGGAAGAGGCTGTGTTCATTTACTAGAAACAAGATACCCAAGAAATTTCATTGTTGATTGGCCGAAAACACACTTTGCGGGGTTAACAACCACGCCGTAGAACTGTAAACCCTCGAATAGTGCCTTTAGATGATATTCGTGTTGCTCTGGCGTTTCTGATGCGACGAGAATGCTATCTATGTAAGCATAACAAAAGTCCATTCCATGAAGCACATCATTTATAAACCTTTGAAAGGTCTGCGCAACGTCCAAAACCCAACTCGAGAGGTGTGGTTATCGCTGTTTTCACTATATCCAGCGATCGAAAATGGTGAAAAACCCTCACAAGGTCAATGGTAGATAAGATCTTTTTGTTGGAGAGCGTTTTGCGTCGTGAATATGACGTACAGGATATCTGTCGGGTTCCGTAAGAGCATTTAAGCTCCGGTAGTCACCACACGATCTCCATTCATTACCTTGCTTCGGCACCATGTGAAGTGAAGACGATCAGCAGCTTTTGGAGGGTCTTGCTATTCCTGTTCTCAGCATATTATCGAACTCCTTCTTGGCAATTCTTAACTTATCTGGGGCTAGTCGTCGTGGTTTGTGAGCAACGGGTGTCCCTGGCGTAGTTTTGATATGATGCTTGGTGTGATGTCTCGTGTTCTTCACCACGCCATCTGGTAGCATCATTTCCGAGAACTTGCATAACAGTTTACGAAAAAATGTTAGAACCGGAAATTATCTTAATACTTATTATTATTATTACGGATGTCCCTTCAGCGGTGATTTGCGTCATCTCAACCTGGAGTTTTCAATTTCTTACATCTACCAGGTGATTGTTATGTGAAAGAAAATCAATACCTATAATGTGTTTTGAGACATCAGCAACTACAAATCTCCACGAAATATCACGACGAAGGTTGAGTGTTAGCGTAACAGTACCGAAAGTAGCTATAGTTGTTCCGATGACTGCGCAAAGTTGATATGTTGACATTTCGCGTGATTCCACGAGCAAACGAGGATATACACACAAATCAGCACCGGTATCTATCAGGAACTGTGTTTTGGTCTGGATATCGGTAACGAAGATGCGGCGAGATATTGAGGGACCTAGGTCGCCGGCCAACATCAACGCCTCCTCGTTGCGTTTCTCGAATCTGTCGTTTGGAATGAACAGGGTTGGGTGCATTTTCGAGCGTTGGACCCAAACTTTCCATGGTACCAACAATTACCACTGGACGCTCTGCTGTTTTGGAAACGATGACGTGAATTGGAACGCGACCTTGACCGTTGTTTATGTTGGTTTCGCAGTTCGGACACTTCTTGTTTAATCGATGCGATCTCTCTCTGTAGCGTAAGAGTTAGTTGATGTAGTTGTGCTGCTAATTGATCATCAGGGATCTACTAAGTGCGTGCTAGGCTGGAAAGTGTTAGTTTGGAATTTTAAACAAAGAATTCCTGTGCACTAACTTTGTACTAGTGACATAAATAGAAAGTGATGGATACTATGAGGTAAACAGTAGGACACTTTCTAATACACGATGACCTAGTTAGAGACATGTTAGAAGCAGTAACAAAAGTAAAGAGGGCCAGACGATGACCTACACCAAGTGACTGTTAGTGATTAATTAGATATGTAAAACGCTCTCGTTTTCGGGAATTGTGAAGACTGGCTCAGGGAAAGAAGAAGTAGTCTAGCTAGCCTTCAGAGTTGCGTTGATTTCATTAAGGTACCTATGGTGCTTCCCTTCTTTCAATGTCAAAGACCTTCCCAATCATAACCTAACATCTAAGAGGTGCATAAGTCTAAAACGGTTGCTCTCCCTTCGTTTTCTACTTATTTCTACCAATAGAAGTCTAAAGGAATATCACTTTTAGTGTTTACTGGTACGCAAATTATGGATATGAGACCAATTTTTGCCGTAAAGAAAACTAATTGTTTATCACACTGTAGCATCAAATGGCTAATAATTTCGTGAAAGGCTTATCAATGAAAGTTCTTCATGAATCATGATACATACACATGTGTCTAAAAGGTCAATTCTTATGTAAACTTAAATATTTGAAAATGTGTCATATTGACTATGCAATATTGTCTACACCACCCTGGAGCTGCACGTGAATATGTTTTTAAATGTTAAAGCATGTCACGCTGAACAAAACAATAAAAAATTTTGTACTAGAATGTGATAACACAATCCCTTTTTTTATACCGACATACAACTAAAAATTTTGCACATAGAAAATTCATTAGAATTTATTATTGGTTTAGTGTAGGTATCATTACGAATAAAAAATATATATCCACTTACATCTTTCAGCACATTTAACATTTTCTCGTATCAATGTCAATTTGTAGTTCCAAATTGGTATAAATAATAGTGCTTTTTAAGACGTATTAGCTCGTATAACTATAAATAAGAAAATTGAATTGATGCTACAGCGCGAAAAACACCTAATCCTTTAATAACTTTTAATGTCGTTTTATACGACAAAACTGGCGTCAAATCCAAACACATTAAAAATGACACTCAATATGTATCCCGCTCAAAATGTATCCACAACATGGATCAGTACCATTAAACCAAATTTCAAATACAATAGAATTATGTTCGGACTGAAGGATCGTGGAATAAATGAACTGTTAAGTCCCGACGGTTTGTCTGCAGACAACGTGTGGGATGGTTATACTGAGTCTTTGCCTAGACTTCGGGGTATAGTCTTCGCTTCCCGTTGTCAACAGAGTACCACTGAAGGTTTCGGCTGCCTGAATCATTCTACCAAGGATTCAGGCTGTGAAAGCCTATGTTGTTATAGTACACTGGACAATACTTTCAGATAATATTATATGATGAAATTTTTAAAATACTGTAGGAGCTGTTGCTGATAGATCGCCAGTTCCTATTAGACCGTTTGGTTCTTGTCAGGTTGACCCTAATAGACAGGCTGTAGTAAATCCAAGAATGGCAACTTCTTCACCGGGAAGAGGTCCACTCAATCAAACTTACACTATTTCAAGTGGCGGGGAAGAGAGTATGCAAGATTGGTCCCATTCTTTTGGGTCATCAAATCTAAGTTCTATACCATCGTCACCTGGGAGTCCTCGAGCCGACCCATGTTGTGGTGAGTCACTATAATTTACATACGAACACCACAACTCATTTCATTTTCGTCTTTTTCGTTCAATTTTATCCCTTCCACGTCTATTCTAACGTCACGACTATCAGTTGTTGTAAGCCAGTCTTGACAGCTACCATCGTTTAGCCATCCTTTAGGGCTTCGCAACTTGCCCTAGATGTTCTAATGGCAAAAATGTAAACTTTAGCAAAATAAAATTCAAAATCACAGACGACAGCAGCAACTGAGTGATGAGGCCTGTGCCAATCTTAGTAGCACGTAATGATTACTATATTGTCAGGGAGCAAATCATAACATCAAAGAGGACAAGGAGGGGATAAAATTGAACGAAGGACTAAAATGAACCTTTATAAGAAAATACATGGAAATAAAACGAAGGTTTTAGAAAATACTACAAATTGCGCAGTAAACGCCATCTGTAGCACGATGCTACATTTTAGGATTACCTATGCTCCAACAAGGTCCACTTGTGTGGATATTTACTTGCTGAAAACGAATCCCGGCGCAGCCAACCTCAACGTGATATGCACGTTAGCTTAATCGAATAAAATAATTCGAAGTGATCTGTATTCTGTCGAAACTGCCAGACGCGGATCGCGAGTTCGATTTTTTTGGATCTCATCAGCGCGTTGCAGGCAGCTCCGACAGAACACAGACCAACTTTTACCTGCTGTCTCAACAGTGCGTTTTAGAAAATACTACAAATGGCGCAGTAAACGCCATCTGTAGCACGATGCTACATTTTAGGATTACGTTTTCAGCAAGTTGTGTTCTGTCGGAGTGGCCTGCGACGCGCTGATGAGATCCAAAAAGATCGAAATCGCGATCCGCATCTGGCAGTTTCGACAGAATACAGACCACTTCGAATTATTTTAAAGCGAAGGTTGGTTGTCTACTAAGCGACCACTGGATATCCCCAAAAATATCCAGGAAATATGCTGGATTATTTCCTCGTTTTACGATTTAAAAATGAATTTACTTTTAGCAATTTAATTTTCACGATATTACAATATTTATGGTGAAACTAATTTTGGGTTAACATGTGTCTCTATACATTGAAATGATTTTTATCGATTGCTAAAAAGTCTCTTGATGGATGGAGAATGACTCTATTTATTCCAAACTTACATCATAAAATTATTTTTAAACGATGTAAGAATAAATATAAAATATGTCCAAATGTGGATTTACCGTCAGATCAAAGAAAATGAAATTGAATTTTTGTGGCGGAAAAAATCCGTATTTAAATTTACAAAATTGAAGGTTAGAAAAACTGTGAATCTGAATTGTTTGTGAAGTTAACCTCTATATTTACAACTTTATACATACATATGTAGGTACTTTGAAAAACTTAAATATAAATACATTTCAAATTAAAAGAGATTACAGTTTGCATTTTTATTTCAATTAGAGACACTTCTAAATCCAACTGAACCTGAATCACTAAACTTACAGATACTTGTTATACTTCACTTACTTTCTCTAGCGATGTTTCCCTTCCAATGTCTTGGGTGCGCGCTGGTAAAATCGTAAGTAGGGAGAGAAAAGCTCATTATACTCTCGACTCTTGTTCATTAAACATACTTTTTCGTACAGTACCTGCCAAAAGTTTTGTTCAGTCATGAATAGTAGTTCGAGTCGAAAACAAGCGTTAAAGCCTTTTATATGTCTTCAAATATAAATAAACATCTCGTTGATATTTTCAGTAGTAAATGGTACCAATAGCAGCACATTTGAGCAATGCAATTGTAGTGGATTAAATGGTCAATTTTTCCGTGCAGTACTGTACGGATTATACGCTCCTCAGCGGTTGGAGAGTTGTCTCCTTCCTTTTCTGGCCTAGTGCTGTTCTTTTCTACTTTGCGCCGGTCAAACTGAAGGTCACATCGCTACAGAAAGTAAACGAAGTATACTATCATTTCAATTGGTTTCCGATAATGTTACATGTTTTTAGTGGTTTACTTAAACTATCCAATAACAATGAACCTGTTGGTTTCTTGGAGCCCTCTTTATTTGGCAAACCCTAAAACTTTTTCCTAAAAAGGTTTTTTACTAAATATATTGCGGGTCTCTCTTATTGTTTTTGAAATTGTGTCTCTCAATGTCATAATTCTAATATTTTTAATATTATTAGGTATACGACCGTGTATGTGCAATATGAATGGTCCTCCTCAAAGTAATTTAAATGCCACATACACTGCTAATCCGAATGCTACTTACAACGTTGATCCAAATGCTACCTACAATGTTAACCGAAATGCTACTTACAACGTTAATCCTAATGCTACCTACGCAGTCTCGGGATATGAGTCCACTTTTCTAGAACCAATGGACATCACTGCTAATGAAACTGGATATGACGAATTTGATCCATTATTTCACAGTTCTTTCCAAGATTTGTCGCAGACCGGGACCTGTGGTAATTCAATTTCCTTGGATTTATTTTAAGTATCAAAAATACCTGTACTACTTATACAGTATATTTGGAATTTATATAAGTATGTTGAGGGAGGTCGAACAGTGCGTCGAAGTATAATAGCTTAATTGGTGTAGGAATTTAATGTACTACAAACTAAATAATTTTCGCATGTACAGGGTGTTGCACAAGTTTGCCAAGAAACGGACTTGCTTCTTTTTTTTTTTAATAGGACACCTCATTTAGGGTTGTTGGTATGGGTAAGGAGTGATTCCGATTTATGGTCTTTTTCTTGAAAAATCAGAGGTCCGCTTGACAATCATTTCATTGTGGAAACAACTTGCGTATATGTTCTTATTTTACATTTTCAATTTTTTTAAATAAGGATAGGTATATGATAGGCGCTTTGAAATGTCGGGGTACATTTTCTCTATGACAGTTTGTTTAGGCACCACTTTAATGTTCTTTCAGTTTTGTTAAGCATTTTTCCTTCAAATGCTTTCCCAGCGAACTTTCAATTACTACGAAGATTTGAATGTACTCCTCTGCTTGTAAGCAAAAGTCTGGACAGACTCTTATGTTCCGTGAATTGAGAGTTTTACATCAGCAAATTTTGAACAAGCAATGTTCTGCAGTACTAAACGTCATTGTAACAATTATTGTTCCACACTGACCTATGACAGTGACACACTGACCTAATATCAAGTCGACTGACTACACCATACAAGCCCACAATATTAAAAGAACAAAGGACTGATTACCGGCTGGTTGCAGTATAATCATCGTAAATCACACTTAATCTTATCTAACAATTAACAAATAATGCATGAATACAAAATTACAGAACAAATACAACATGTAGGCTGCTAATTACTTGCTGATTAAAATCGGTATTCCATTGTCGTATGTTTCGGGGGCTGAAATAACATTGGCCTGTACTTTGAATTACGTTTTTCCCGAAAAAAAAAACTTAGGTCAAGTGAATTGTCAAGAACGAGCCAATTCAAAAAATAAATAATACATAGTGTGCTCAATCTAAAAAAATTATGTTTGGCTCTTGGCAAACTCATGAAACACTTTGTATATCCAGAAGTAGTTTTAGTTTTTAGTACGTATCTATCCGTACAATTTTTATACTAAACTTTTTTGAACTGCTATAATAACCGCTCTTTTAAATTTTAAATTGATTGATACAACTGATTTTCGGTTGACCCTTAAGGAAATTGATAAACTAGGATAGGTCTTACATCGAAAATCAAAATGTGTGAATTTAATTAGTTTCTGGGCCTTACTGTAGGGACACACTATCAAAACGATTGTTGCAATTTGCAACATTAAAAAATTTATGCAAGAACAATGAACAGAACCCTGTTATTAGAACTTATATACCTATAAGATCTAGTATAAGTCAATAGGTAGCGTTTTATGATGCATCCAGTTAACATTTCAAAACCTCTACATCTGCTTGTTTAAGATGGGATAGGACCGGGCACTTGTAGGTATACCTGTAAGTAGTGTCGGATGAGCCTGACGCCTCCCGCGCCTCGGGGGTTTGTTCGTTAAGTGTGACGTCTCTGTATACACAAATTCTAGTACGAGCGCCATTTCAAGTTTCGACGTGCTGTCCGGCGTTAAGGGTATTCCCTCTATGTATTGGGCACCTTCTTATTCTTTAAAAACAAAGTGCCTTTGAAATGGGCAAGAGAAACTTGTACGAGTTTCGATACGGTGGAGGGGAGGAAATTTTATGCTTAACTCTTAGCAATTCGCACGGTGTTTCAGTTTTCGTCATGCTAATAATTTTTTACCCTGAAGCAAGCAAGATCTTTCCAGTTACTGACTTTTGATTTTTATTATGCTATTTCCTTTCTGTAATCGATTTGCGTTATTTAAAATTTATACATATCTATGCCTCCCAAGTTTTTTGAAATCCTGCAAATTTAATTTTTAATGCCGTGTGTATCAATAGATAATTTTGGTATCTGCGTAAATATTTATTATTTTGAAATCTTCATAACGAGAGCTATATAGGGAAAATTAAATAATACAAAAGAATACCTACGAGATGAATAAAATATTTTAATACCTTTTTCATGTGATTGTCATGATTCTGATACAACTGAAAATAGTATTTATAATGAACAAATATGCCACCGAACTAAGCGCGAATTTTTCCTTTTGTTTTTGAACATGAGCACAATTACAATAAAATTCATTGGACATTATGTTAAAGGTCAAAGTCAGGTGATACTATACTATATAGAATAAAGGCTGATAAAGAAATGAATTCAGGGAGATTCTATTACATGCCGTCATCAAAGGGAGGAATTATTTCATGAAGAATGCCACGCCCATACAACCTCTTTCTGCCCAAGCTTCGCTTCTTCATCTACGATTTCTCTGCCTAGCTGTACTTAAACACCTCGGTAAAGCCATTGAACCGTCCCCGTTCTTATAGCAGTTCAGCACACATAAAGTTGGTTCATGACGGTCTGCAAGAATGCCGGTATTTTAGGTCAGATCAAAGGAGTGAATTTAATTTAGAAATTCGAAAAAGATTGTTAATGGTGTATGTTTTGAGCGCGGCGCTGTACGGGTGCGAAACATGGTCGGTGGGCGCGGCGGAAAAGGTTACAGCATCCGAAATTATGAGGAAACCGTGGATAGAGAAGGTTAGAAATGAAGGGGTATTAGAAAGAATAAGAGAACAGAGGACTCTATGAAAGTCAATAAGAAATAGGCAAGGTAGGTTGGTAGGCACGAAGATCTTGTCAGAGATATACTAGAGGCAGAAACAGGAGTTAAGAGGAGTAGAGGTAGATCTAGATTAGATTACTGTTCGCAAATAGTTAAGGATGTGGAATATCCTAGTTTAAGGGAAATGCTAAGATTAGCTCAGGGTAGGAAGGAGTGGAGGTGCGTGTCCAACCAGTCTTAGGGATGATGATGATGATCTGTATTGTACTGTAATCTTATAGCCTGAAACAATTAAATAAAAGCATTCTTCGGTTAATTCAGTAAGTATTGAAAAAGAAACTACTAGTAAAGGATTAATAAACATAAATTAAGAAGAAAAAAAGGTGTAGCATCGGCCGGAAATGATATTGAAGCTTATTAGAAATTGTTTCATAATGTAAGATTATCATATTTTCCATGTTAAGCTGGCGTGTGGTAAGCATATTTAGTAGGTCTGATGAAGTCGGGCATATTTGTGAATTTTTCGGTGACGTATGACAGCGTATGAATAGGCGGGCAAATCGACAGTTCTAACGTCGCCTTATGAGTAGGACACCACTCACTAACGGTTGGTTAACATTCGAGTGCAATGCAATTAGTTACAAGGTGACGTCATGGGCAGGCTTGTACGAATTTTGAACACGTACATGTCATATCTTCTTTGATTTTCTTTGTACCATGATCACAGGGGTGGCTTGCGCTGGTGTTATGTACGAGGGTGGATTGATAAGTTTCCGGCCTAACCAAGAGATGACGCCACTAGGCCTACCTTGAGGTGACATTCTATAGTACCATCCTTGGATAGCTTGTAGCTATAGTTTCAGCCCGATCTCCTTGCTAG